CATAATAGGCTTATCTTTTATTTTGTAGATGGCATAGAATGTTATGATGCATTAAACAAAGAGCATTTTGAGTTAAAAGCTCATGTTTTAGCTTGGACTGGAGATATACCAGCTATCACCAAAATAATGTGTTTTACTGGACATAATTCTTACCAGGGATGTCGGTTTTGTAAAATCAATGGAAAATTATTGAGAAGCAATTCACATGTTTATTATCCTCTACCAAATGATATGGAAATTTCTGATCTTCCTTCTCGTAAACATAATGAAATATTAGATAATATTAAAGATATTGATAATTCTAAAAATAAGACTTTTAAAGATAGATTGATACAAAAATATGGTAATAATCTTTTGATTTTATTTTTTTAAAAATTTATTTACTAATTTTTTATTATTTTATTAATAGGAGTAAAGGAAAGAAGTATTTTATTTGATTTAGATTCTATTATATTTCCAAGATCATTTCCTATAGATGCCATGCACCTTTTTTTTGAAAATATAGGACCTAATATGTATAAGCTTTGGTCAAATAAATTTTACAAAACAAATGATTTACAAAAGGTTTATTCAATTAGTAAAAAAGATTGGCAAGAAATTGGCAGAGTTCTTGAACAAAATAAGTATAATATACCAACTAGTTTTGGGAGAGTACCAAGGAATATTTACAAGCATTCAGCTGGATACAAGGCAGAAGAGTGGTCAAATTGGATTATGTTTTTTTCACTCCCACTATTAAAAGGAAGAATTGAAGAAAAGTATAATTTGATTTTTTTTATATTTTTGATTTGACTATAAATTTATTTATTTTAAAAATAATAAAGGTACTTGAAAGGCTGGTCTCATTTAGTAAATGCAGTATACCTTTGTATTCAACCAACAATTGAATATGAAGATTTTGAAAAAATTAAAAGAGATTTGAAAGAATTTTATATCTGTTATATTAAGTAGGCAATATTTATTGTTATTTTACTTTAATGATAATTATCAATGATTGATTAAATTTTTTTTTAGTGATTACAAGGAAGATGACAACCAAGAGGGATTAAAGATTCATCTATTGACATTTCATTATATATTACACGTAATCCAGAGTATTGAAGATTTTGGCCCATGTTGCTATTATTGGCAATTTCCAATAGAAAGGCTTTGTGGCATGTTGCTTCCACTAGTTAAGTCAAAAAAAGATCCATATAAAAATTTAATTAATAATATCACATTGCTTGAAAAATTTAATATGATGAGATTTTATCCAAAGTTTAACATTGTATTTGAAGATTTTAAAGAAAAGCAACGATTTGATTTTCCTGAGCATAGAGTATATGTTAATGATCATTATGATGGTTATGAATTTTATTCTCCTAGCAAAAAACATCAATTAAATAATGATGAAATCAGAAAACTGAAAGAATGTTACAGTGCTATTTATGATATGAACATAAAAAACCTTAATGTAAGTTTAATTTTACAAATCTTTTTTTTTTAATTAAATTACAATAGTTTTAACCAATAATTTTTATTTAGGAAATTTCTAACAATTCTAAGAAATATGCAAAATTGATGAATAAACATGGTCATATTATCAAATCTTTATATGATGCAAAGAACAAAGAAGATATAAGAAATAATAATTTTGTTGCTGTATATATTAATTAATATTTATTCAATATGTTAATTAATTAATAATATTTTTTACTAATTTATAATATTTGGATGAATTTATTTTTAGATTAATATGGCCATTGATTTAAATTCTTCAAGAAGGAATGCACCAAAAAAATCAAAAGAAGTGATCAAATTTGCAACTATCAAATATTTTATGGTACATAAGTATAACAACAGGGATCACATGCTTGCATGTGTTCAATTTAC